GTAGCATATGGTCAAGAACCGATGGTAGCATATGGTAGCATATGGTTAAGAACCGATGGTAGCATATGGTAGCATATGGTCAAGAACCGATGGTACTAAAGGAAGAAATCCAAGTTGCACTGAGGGCATCAGCAGAAAACCAGGTTCTAGAAATTGGCAGAATACAAATTGAAATATTTCAACAAACTTATGCAGCACTGGAGGGGCACGCACTTATCTATGCCTAGAAATCTAAAAGACCGATACCTGATCAACTGATTGGAAGAGATGCATGTTTGTGCCCATTCTCAAGTGTGGTGAACCAATGGAATCAGAAGTCGTCAGATGATATCATTAATGTGGAATGAGAAATCATCAGATGATATCATTAATATGGAATCAGAAATCATCAGACGTTATCATTAATGTGGAATTAGAAATCATCAGACAATATCATAATATTAAATTTCTGCTAAAGATGATTACAAAATGGCTGCAGCAGTACATTGACAGGAAACAGCCAGAGGTTCAAGCTGGATTCAGACAAGGATGTAGAACATGGAATATCATTGCTGATGTCTTGTGCAGATTGTCTAATGCCAATACGTCATTTGATTTCAATCGGTATGCTGAGCAAATAATCTGAGAAGTCGAGTTCTATGAACTCGACATTGGGATTGGAGGAAGACTTATTAACAACCTGTGATATGCAGATGATACAGCCTACAACCTTGCTTGCCGAATATGAAGAGGACATAAATACTTACTGATAAAGATCAAAGACCATAGCCTTCAGTACGGATTGCATCTCAATGTAAAGAAAACAAAACTCGTCACCATTGGACCAGTAAACAATATTCTTGTCAATGGAAAAAGATTGAAGTTGTCAAAGACTTCATTTTTTTTTTTTTTTATCAATCATCAACACTCATGGAAGCAATGGTCAAGAAATCAAATCACATATTGCATTAGGCAAATCTACTGCACAAGACCTTTTTAAAGCATTGAAGAGCACAGATTCCAGCTTGAAGGACTAAGGTGCACTTGACCCAAGCCATGGTATTTTTAGTAACCTCATATGCATGCAAAAGCTGGACAGTGAATAAGGAAGACCATAGAAGAATTGATGCATTTGAGTTATGGTATTGGAGGAGAATATTGAAAGTACTATGGGCTGCCAAAAGAACAAACAGATGTGTGTTGGAAGAAGTGCAGCCAGAGTGCTCCTTGGAGGCTAGGATGGCCAGACTTCATCTCTCATAGTTCAGACATATTGTCAGGAGGGATCAGTCACTGGAGAAGGATATTGTGTTTGGTAAAGTGGAGGGTCAGAGAAAAAGAGGAAGACCCCCAATGAGATGGATTGGCACAGTGGAAGCATCAATGGGCCCAAGCATGGCAACAGTTGTGAAGTTGACCCAGAACTGGGCAGTTTTTCGTTGTGTTGTGCATAGCATCACTGTGAGTCTGTACCGACTTGATGGCACCTAACAACAACAACAAAGATTTACAACCTGGGAAACCCTATACAAAGTCACTAAAAGTTGGAACCAACTTCTCGGCACTCCACTACCACAAGTATAAGTAAACCGTATAATTGCCCGCTTCAATATGGCCAATACCAGTCTATCTCCGTTCACTAATGCCTAGGAACACCATTGAAGAATTCTTTATACGTTCCATTTCATTTTTAACAACTTCCAATTTTCCTAGATTTATACAGTCCATGTTCAAATTATGAATGGATGTTTGCAGCTGCTTCCCTCATGTTGAGTTGTGCTCCATCAGCAGATGAAGGTCTCGAAAGCTTTCCTGATTGTGATTGTCTCTATTTTGAAGAGGCAGCTCTTCCCCAGTCGTAATTTAAGTGTCTTCTAACCTGAGGGGCTCCTCTTCTGTCTCCATATACAACAGTGTTTTACTACTATTCATAAAGTTTTCAGTAACTTGTCTCTCAAAAGCAGTGTGCCTTTCCTTCTTCTTAGTCTGGAAAGCCTAGCTGAAACCTGTTCACCTGTCACAGGGTGACCCTCCTGGTATTTAAACTATTTGCGGCATAACTTTCAACATCACAGCAACATGCAAGCCGCCACCACCGTGCTACAA